CGGTGGATGACGGCCTCGGGCGTTCAGCAGCAGGGGCAGCGCCTTGGTGCTCAGGAGGTCCTCCTGGTTGATGTAGGGCCAGACGAAGCAATCCCGGTATTGGGTGCCCCGGTCCCGGTCGGCCGCGGTCTCTTTCCGGAAGCCATCGAAGTCCGGGCGATGCATGGCCGGCATATTGGGCCAGCCATCCAGCAGGATCTTGAGCCGCTGGGATCGGGTTTTCTTCAGTCACCGCTTCTGAACGGTAGCCTCGTGGCGCTGTAGGATCCCGTGCAGGGTCTCGTAGCTGGTGAATATCTCCGCCGATCTTGCGGTAGCCTCGCGACGAACTTCACCGCTGTTGTGGGTCCAGTCCGCAGACATGAGGCAAGGTGTGTTTCTACGGGCTTCTAAGACAAGAACTGGGGAGGGGCATCCGTTCCTGGATGCGGACATGTTGCCGAATATATCTAATTATGTGACCTTGACGCTGTTCCCCTCGACTAAAAGACGGAGTCAGGCCAACCGGGCTATCCCTGGCCAGCCTGCAGCCATTTCTGCTTCCCATATGAATGTGGAGAGCAGAAGACTGCCCCATACCTGCAATCTGGAGAGAATATCGCAGTATACACACTGCATATAAGCAGTGTAAACAAGATTGTTGCCTTAAGGTAGTCATTTAGGAGGATCACTCGGGCCGACTGATGCGTTCCTGGGCCTGCGGGTGCGGGGCGGGATGGTGAGGGGTTGGTTCCACGGGTGGGTAGAAAGAAACAGACATGACTGAATTGGTTGATTAAATTCCCTGGGCTTCAACCTTCCCAATCTCCGCCATCGCTTTCGCAATTAATTCCTGCGAATCGACCTCAGTCAACACCAGCTTCGCTGCACTGACCCTCTCCTTCCAGAGCTGCCAGCGCTCCAGATCAAAGCCGCGACGCGGGGTATCGTCCTCGTCTCCAAATACCCGTCTCGCCTGACAGTTCTCCCACAGGCGCTCTCCCGCAAAGATGAACCACAGACAGGCCGTCCGCACTGCTTCCGCCGGTTGATCCTCCTCGAATGCCTTTTCGAACGTATAGAGCCCATAGATCGAAAAGTCCATGGCGTGGCCGAGATGGTCCGCCGCCGCAGTCAGTTGGGCCATGAAGGCATTGCGGTTCTCCCACTCTTCAATTTGAGAGGGTGGATTTTGCCTTGAATAATCTGGAGTAGATATTAGCTATCAGAGGCCCGAGCGAGACAAGAAAGAGGGAGACGGGTCCACGCACTGAAACTAAATCGATCGCCTAGATAAACACGGAGATAAGGCAGATCCGTCCACAGATTTAGATCGATCGCGGTCGGGGTTTCCCCCGTCGTGGGATCCGTAACGGGTGTCTTTTGCAGCTGCGAGACAAACTCCACAAGTTTGGTCTGCTTAGCGGCGGGAGTCAGGGAGGCGATCTCGACGAGCGACAACATCGTGAACCACGCGTGGTTGCCATCGATCTTCGCCCGGGGCTCTTTCTGCGACCGTTGCAGGTCTTCGCGGGCTTGGAGAAGCTGCTGGAGAGTCTCAGCGGCAGACGCATCGGGGCTTTCCAGCAGCCGGTTGACAGCCTGGAACTCCGGTCTTGCGATGAGGTCGGGGCCAAAGTCGTCCATGATGGCTGTAGTGGGGGTCGGGGTTCGGTTGGGGAGATGACAGAGGGAAAAGGCCGGAGAGAGATGGACTGCGGCGGCGCCGGCTTTATGACAGGGTTGGGGGCGGGCTTGGCCTGGAGCCCCGTTTGGCCCCCATCCGGGACACGCCATCATGAGGATACTCGAGCCCTAAGCGAATGCCCTGTAGGACGAAGAATAGCAGACGGGATCGATCTTTGGACCCAAACAGTTGGGGTCCCGAGTAGTTGGGGTTCTACAGCTCTCTGTCACAATACCCAGTAACATCACACCTGACTAGGCATCCAGATACATTTTCGGTCAAGCGGCTTCGTTTCACGCATCTCAGGGCGTCCCATCTGGCCCTGCTGACTTGCCCTACCTATGAGGTTACACGAACACGAACAGCAACTGTCCTGTTGGGGGCTGCAGGCAGATGCTACACGAAGCTGAAGATGGGACAGCCACAAGAATCCCAAAGCATGATGCATGTCAGGGGAGAGACATATAAATCTCCGTGTCTGGACGGACTATTATCCCTTCCCTCATTCCAGCTTACAGCAGCCGTATCTCTCTCGATCTCAATACCTATTTATTCTCTAAAAGTCCCTCGTTCAACCCAATCCAATCCGAACCAACTCAGTCCTTCTTTTAACCATCTACACCGTTCAAAATGCTATTCACTCTCAAGCCCACCATTCTCCTGGCTCTGGCCCTCACGGCAATCGCCTCCCCCATCGCCAACCCCAACCCCAACCCCGAGACCAACCTCGTCGCTCGCGCGGCGGTCAAAGCCGTCGACTGCAACGGGGTCAAGTTCACGACCACCGACATCAACAACGCTCTCAAGGAAGCAAAGGTGGTCCAGACCGCCAAGGATGATGGTAAAAAGGGCTATGGCAAATACCCCGAGTACTACGGCAACGCGGAGAAGCTCTTCACCTCGACCAGCAACCTATACGAGTACCCATTGGTCGATGGGACCTATTCCGGAAGTAAGTTCTTCTTTTGCTTTGTCTGCTTCGGATGCTTTCTATTTGAAGAGGGCCTGTGTGTGTGTGGGCTAATCATGAATGTGCTGCGTGGATAGCAACCTCCGCCGGCGAGCCCGGAAAGTACCGCGTCATCATGAACGAGAAGTACAAGTACATGGGCTCTGTGTATCACCCTGCTGGAACGGGAAATACTTTTAAGCTGTGCACGAACACCGAGTAAGCTTGCAGCTGGGGTTGTTAATTCCTTGTGTGGGAGTGTGGGGTAGGTTAATTTATTTGAATGGTGGTTGTATATTTCAGTGAGAGTTATTGTAAAAACAGTATATAATTCTGGGGGAATTTCTGTGATGTGTGAAATTGTAGGAGTAGACTGGTAAAGATTGGGAATTCGTCTCTTAGCATCTCCAGCCACACCCTGTAACTTTCGCTATTAAAATTGAGTGGAGTATGGGGTTTTTATTGTGTGGCTTTTTGTAACTTGTATGTTGAATGTATTTCTTCCTACTATTAAGACTGAGTTTGGACATAACCCTCAGGACAATGAAGGATGCATATACTGCAGATAGAGAAGAACATCCTTAAAATAATCTTAGTTCAGAAGTCAGGTACCAGAGGAAGTAAGCATTTCTTGTGTTTGATAGGGTGAATATAAAGTTCTCCACAACCGAAAATGACAGGGCTAATATCATCTGCCACTGGTAGCCTCATGAATCCGACATAGGACTACTAACACTCCTAACTTAGTTTACGATTTCCATGTAACACAAACGAGAAGGCAGCGACCAATAAAAGTCGACTATAACTAGTAAACGCGGGTCTGAGGTATGTGAGTAGGTAGGGTTAAGTTCCGCCACCATTCAACCCACTATAAATTTAATGCCCTTCAAATGCCCCCTTACTTCTTACAGCGGACGCGACACAAACCACTGGTAAAGGAACACGTACCATCCGTGAGTGGTAGTTGGGAATTCCGATAATTTACTCAAAATAAAGCCGTCTCATCCGCCACCTCAAGGCATTTAAAATCCCCTGCAACCACTCTTAAATCATCATCACAAAGTCCAATCGAGCTATGGATCCCACATCCCCTAAACCAACCATCGTCTTCGTACCTGGCGCGTGGCACACGCCCGCCCATTACGAGGAGATGCTCGATCTGCTACAAAATGCCGGCTACCCCACCAAAAGCATCAATCTACCCAGCGTAAACGCAACACACCCTCACCGTCAGACTCTCGCCGCAGATGTGGACGCTGTCCGAGAGAGTCTCCTCAAATTAGTCGACCAGGGCAAGGAGGTCATCCTTCTGATGCACTCGTATGGCGGATGTCCCGGTGGAGCAGCCGCGAAGGGACTCAGTCGTATGGAACGGAGCAGACCAGGCGCAGTGGTCGGACTCCTTTTCTTGTCCGCATTCCTAGTACAGGAAGGTCACTCGGTGGTGCAGACAGCTGGAGGGAAGCTAAATGATTGGGTTATCGATCAGGTAAGTCATTCCAATGCTTGATGGGAATCACGACTCAAAGGTCTTGGCGGATAGGGTGATGGCCAGCTGAATGTCAGAAATCCAATTGAGGTATTCTACCACGATGTCCCGACAGACAAAGCGACTGAGGCAGCATCGGGAATCCAGATTCACGCCCTGGAGTCCATGATCACTCCCTCGCCGCCAACTGCCTGGACTGATTCAGCTTTTCATGGCCGTCGTGGGTATGTTATGACAACTCAGGATCGAGCGCTGCCGTTTCTCGGCCAGGATATTATGCTCAAGCTCAGTGGGATGGAGTGGGCTTTAAGAGAAATTGAAACTAGTCATAGCCCGTTCTTGAGCAGGCCTGGAGAATTAGTGGACCATGTTCTTAGTATAATCGGTTGCTTTGAGACAGAAGCCATAAATACTCCCCGGTAGATTTGTTGTGATGTCAGGTGATTAGGGCTCGCTGGGGTTCCTCATATATGTATGCAGCCTTGATGGTTTTACTTTATCGATGTAAGTGAGGAATAGAACCAAGATCTCTACAACCCATTGAATTTGATTCTGACATGATTCAATCCAATTGTGTCACTCGTCATTGGGGTGGATGGTTGTTGTTGTCGCGTGCAACTGGACCTGCAGGGTTGCCCACCTTCGTGATTTCAGAATTAACGAAACAAAGAATGTTGTGTCATAGTAACAGACCTTTTGCCATTCGGCATAGAGTTGGCAGCGTGCCCGAGCGGTCTAAGGGGTATGACTCGAAATCATATATCTTCGGATGCGTGTGTTCAAATCACACCGCTGTCGTTTCTTTTTTTTTCTTTTCTTTATCTTTTGTCTTTCCGTCCGAGTTCAATTATCTTCCATAATAGCTCCAATTCTGTTTCGTATTAATAATCAACCAAGGCAGTGTGGCCGAGTGGTCTAAGGCGTATGACTCGAAATCATATATCTTCGGATGCGTGTGTTCAAATCACACCGCTGTCGTTTCCTTTTTTCTTTTCTTTTTCTTTTGTCTTTCCGGCCGAGTCCTACTATCCTTCATGATAGGTTTAATTCTATTTGATATTAATAATCCGTCAAGGCAGTGTGGCCGAGTGGTCTAAGGCGTATGACTCGAAATCATATATCTTCGGATGCGTGTGTTCAAATCACACCGCTGTCGTTCATTTTGTACTTTTTATTTTTTTTTTTCCCGGCAGAGTTGATTCTATCTGTTCCTATTTGTCTTTTCCCACTGGGGAGACTCAATGTTGTTTTGTGCTTTAGGTATTGTTAAGAGTGTAAAGTGGGGATTTGTGGCCAACCCGTAGAACCGCCCCCTCGCAAAAACAGCTTTTTATCCCATCCTCTGTTCGAATGTAGTTTATACGTAAAATAAGGTCTATAGATTAGAGTGACGTATTTTGTCGTATGGAAACTCTATACCAAAGAATGAGAAAGACAACCGGTTATATGGATGCTTCTGTCCATCCATGGGCCCAATTCAAACGGATATATGATATTTTATTTTGATGATGCATCACATCATTCTCTGCATACCATACCATTCATTATAACCATATATCTACCACGGCTGGACGCCATCCTTATTGATAACCTTCCCCACATCTCCATCCCGACGGCCCTCGATAACACTATGAATAAACGGCCCAGCAACGGAGGGATCCCCGGCCCCCAACTTCTTCAAGAGCTCGGTATTGCCCCCTAGCCCGGTAGCCAGGAATCCGGGCGAGATGGCAAACACCTTAACACCGTCCTCCTTCAACATGCGGTGCCACTCGCGCATGAGCATGTTGAGACCGGTTTTGGAGCTGCGGTACGCGGCCACACCGAAGCCGCTCTTGGGCCAGCCCTTGGGCGGCACCTTGTTGGCACCGATAGCTGTGTTTTCTGTGCCTGCCAGAGTGGACAATCCTGAAGTGATGAATAGCAGACGGGGCTCGGAGCTCTGAAGCAGGAGGGGTACGAAGGTCGAGGTCATGATCTGTGTTCCTGTGGTGTTGACGTTCCAGGTCTGGTTCCACATCTCGCGGGCGCTAAGTTTGCCTGTGGCGAGATGTTGGTCGAATTGGGCTCCTGGGGGGTGTTAGAGGGTATTTTACAACACTGAGGGAAAGTGCATACCGGCGTTGTTGATGAGAACGTCCAGTTTGCCGTACTTGGACTGTACCTCGGTGAAGGCCTGCTCGATCGACTCGTCGGATTCGATGTCTACCTGGATGGGCACGAAAGTGCTGGGGGTGGAAGGATATTCTTTCTGGATGGCAGCAACGGCGTCCTGCACCTTTTGGGGGGTTCGTCCGCCCATGAGGACGGTGTATGGCTGGTCGGCGCCCGCGGGAGCTTTGACGATGTGTTGGAGCCGGTGATGAGAATGATTTTTGACATAGCGGCGATGATGGTATATCGATGGAGATCTCAAAGTCAGGAATCCAGGATCGGAAATGGGCATGATGGGGGGGGGG